CTCATCTTCCACAGGTGTCGTTTTCTCTATTCGGAGTTTGCTCAATCCCTGCTCCAACACTGACACATCGTCTCTTTCTGGTTCTGTTTGTCGCCGTAGGTCACGTGTCGGGCCACTAGCCGCATTTTCCTCCTCGTTTTCCCTGTGCGCAACTCCTTTCTCTGGTGACAAGAACGTTGTGAATGCAGTCCGCCCTCCATTCCTCTTCTTTCCGTATACGACTTTTGCGGGCATCTTCGAGGGCCTGAGCGAGTGGTGTAGTCGGTTGTCGATTCGTTGAGGCTCGATGGAGGTGCCAGGGTTTGGAGGGGTCTCCACGACGGAAAGTCTAAGCGAGGCGTTTCCACGGCAACAACCTAACGCGTGGGCGAGACTTCCTGAATCACGACATGTCAGGAGCCATCATGCGCTCGAAGGGTGACGTAGTTCGTCAAATCAAGCGTTTGACCCAGATCAGGACCAGTAACAATATCACGGCAGCGACAGTTTAGAGAGGACCGCAAACGATTCCGCAGAATTAAAATTAAAATCAACAGGTACTCTGTGATGTTACAGAGGCCTCTTAGCACCTCCCAATGCGATATCAAATGAACGCTCTTCCAATTGAGCGTCTAAATCGTGTACATGTAAAGTGAGAGTCCAATCTCCCTTCTAAACCCAGAAGCAGATTGCACGAAGAAGTTGCCCAAGTGACCGGCAGACGGGCAGAAACTGGGTAATGGGACTAAACGCTGGAGACAACAAGACAAGGGTGCTAGGCAATCGGATAAAAAAGAAATAGGGTCCTTGGAAAGCGTTGGAAGGGCCTGAGGATGTGATGTTGGGACAATTTACAGCCAAGTGAATTTCGGTGATGGATAGGTGTGTAGTTTCGGGGATTGAGGAACGACAACGGAGCTCAGTTGTCGCCACTGTCAACGTCAGCTGGCGGCGTCTCCGCTTCCTCTTGTAGTATGGGTTGTGGTATGACACCGAGACTCTTGCGTTTGCTCTTTCTCTCTGAGTCTCCGTCTTTCTTTATGCCATTTGCCTCAGAGGACGCGGTAGTGGGGCTCAGTGTGCTACTCGATTTCTTGTTCGGGGCCATGCTTGAGTAGCCTACGGTGAGTTTGGATGTGCTGTCGTTGTTCTCGGACTTGTCGGCAAAGTCTTTCCACTTGCGCCAACCGTCGAAGTCGATGAGTGCTTGCATGCAGCCCCACTCCTTGACCTTGCGTTCAAGCCAGACAAAGTTGACAGGCTATGACATATGTTAGCATGAATTTACTGATACAGAACGTGAGTCCTTACCTTGGTCAAAAAGTCGTTGCAACCAGCCGCCAGAGCCTCGTGTCTGTCGCTCTGCAGCGAACTGGCTGTAAGCGCGACGATAATGACGGGACTCTTGAACATGCCCTTGTCACCGAGACGGTCATCTTCGCTCAGCTCGTCTTTGCCGTTGCCCTCTGATCCAAGCCTATTGTTGGGGGCCTCACTACTGCCACTGCTGAAGACACCAATGCTGTTGACACGCTCCAATCGTCGAATCTCCTTGGTAGCCTCTAGACCGTTCATGACTGGCAGCTGAATATCCATGAGTACCAGATGGAACCCGCCGGCCTTCCACTTGGTGACGGCCTCTTTTCCGTTCATTGCGCGCTGCCACCTGACCTTCAAGCGCTGCATGAAAGCACCCAAGACCCGCAAGTTAATGATGTTGTCTTCCACGATCAACACATTGATGGGCGGCACTGAGCCATCCAAAAGACCGGCTGGCAAGCTCGGTGCTTCCACCGGCGGCTTTCTCCGCTTTTTCTTATTGTTCGGTTGGGGCGATGATATGCGTGGGGTGGGTGGAGTCGATTCATGGAGGGTTTGTGAGTGAGAGATGGGATCGGCTGAAGCGGGCGGAGTAGGTATCGCATTGTTCGAGACGGCAGAGTTCTTTGCGTCGGAGGCGGAGGAGTCATGGCGCGGCCGGTTTGGAGGGCGGACAGACGTGGCGGAGGAGGGAATGCCGCCGCCGAGGGTGGTTGGTGAGGCCGTGTGCGTTCTAGGGAATTTCGGTCGATGGGCATGCAGCGGCCCTCGTCTGGTACCGCCCGGGGACGGCAGTGCAGGCAGTTGTCCGGTGTTGAGCACGGCTATTGAGTGGGGCGCATGAGGCAGAGGCATGCGGGCCTCATGCGGCTGGCCCGAGGCAGCGGGAGAAGGAGCGACGACGGGCATGGGCGGGAAGTACTCGGTCTGTGGGTGGACGCCATCTTCGTGGTGGTAGTAAAAGGGCACGCGAGGTGAGGGCTTGGGGGTCCTCCGTTGGGGCACGTCGATGATGAGGGCCTCGGTCACGTTCTGGCCGCCGGGGAAGTAGGCATCCAGGGTGCGGCACATGTCCTCCTCAGGGCCCAGGGTGCGGTCTCCTCCCCGCTGGTTGTCGCGCGGGATGATGCGCAGCGTGACGTCGGGCGAGTCGAAGCTCCTTCCCAGCGAATTGGCGTACTTTTTGAGAATCATCTCGCGGACGTCGTCGACCAGGTCGTCCTCGCGGATCTGCACCAGCGTGGCCGAGGCGCTGGGCCGCTTGACCCAGATCTTGCGGTGCAGCATGCCAGCGCTGAAGTGGGCGGGTGCTCCGCCAAAGTAGTCGGCGACGGTAGGCGGGCCGGTCTGGATGGCAGCCTGGGGGATGTCGGGGACGAGCAGCTTCTTGATTAGCTGGGCATCGGTCTTGTTGACGACGGACTGGCGGCGGACGAGGGCGGGCGATGGGTTGTGCGAGGTATCGTTGCTGCTGGCGGGGACAGGCTCGGTGGTGGTGTGGTCGCTCGGGGCGGAAGAAAGCGACGATGGCTCGGCGCGGTTGAGCTCGGCAGGCTGCTGCACTACGGGGTGGAGAGGCGTGGGCGCCTCAAGAGTCACCTCTGGCAGGACGACAGGCACGTCGGCGGAGGGTGGGCGCTGCTGGTTGTGGTGGTGGTGGCTTGCGGTGCTCGCGATGCTCGTGCAGGTCGAGTGTCGATCTCGCGAGGTGTTCAGGCTGCCAGTGCTGCCGTTGCCGTCGGCCTGACTGTCGGCGGCCACTCCAAGCACATCCGACCTGACCATGCGCGGATCAGCTGTCTTGTCGTCGGGAGTCTCCGCGCCAGACACCTCGGGCAGCTGCTGCAGCGAGACGCTCTTGCGGAGGGAGCTGGTCGGCGGCGGGCGCGCATGCCTCTCGCTGCCATGCGAGGAAGTGAGTGAGCGTGCACTGCTCGACGTCGCGCTGCTGCGTCTCAACAACTTGGACCGCGCATTCTGCAGCCGCGTCTTGATACTGCTCATGCCAGCAACCAGCCGGAGGCGCCCAGCATGCAGTTTGGAGATGCGCTGCGAGGCCGTCGTGGTACGGGCGTTGGGTAAATAAATGGCGGCCTGGCTGCTAACGAAGTTATGGGGTGCGCTTGGCCTGCCTGTCCATCACTTGCCGGTAATCCAAGAAGGTCGTGATGCGGCGGGCACACCAGAAAGAATAGACAACTACGATTAGAACAAGAAGGAAAGGGGCATGGATCGATTACTACAGGACACGAAAAGGAAATGCGTCGTGTTGTGCTTCTTGCAAGCAAGTATTACCATGTTAATCTCAAAGCGCGCTTGGGCCTTGGAAAGAGGAGCGCATTCCCCATGCCCCCTCTCACTTATGCCGCCCAACTTCCAGGCTTGCCACTGGGGTGTGTGCCCAGTCTGCCTACGTATTTATCATGCCATCAAGGCCCTGGAGTGTCCAAGACGTGTTTGAACCCAATGACAGCAACAGAGCGCATCACAGCTGAGCGCCTGAATTCTGCTTCACGGGCTACCCCAGCGTGTTCCATCGCCAACTCATCTCCACCTCACCTCCTATCCGCTCTGGGCCGCCTGTACGTAGCTCCTGTCACCCGCACACCCATCGTCGATTCCTCCGGATCTCGCAATGCAGCCTTCGCCACATGTATGCACCTCGTTGCGATAACCTGATGTACGGTACGGTCTATGCCAGATGTGGGGTGGCTGATGATGGCACCACCATAGCCCATTGGCTGACATGTGCAACCGCACTTCCTAATACGTCGCTACCATACATAAGTAGTCGCCAACTGCAACGCTTATCACGAGAAGCGCCTGACACTTCTTCAGAATTTGAGGAACTTACTCGACTTGTTGCGACGGTCAAACGCCATCAAAGTTTCTAGCAGAGAGTTAGGTCACAGTTGTGTTCCATCGCTATCCCAGCTTGTTGTCGCCAACTCATCTATCACGGCTTTATATATCACACTTTTGGCCCATTCTTCCACATACGACCACAGGAACAAGATAAATAGCGCTTCCCGTTTGCTCAGCGGTACTCAAGCTTGTTACCGGCAAATTAGTAGTTTCTTGGGTGACCCGAAGCGAATAATTGCTGTTGTATGTTTTTGCCATTTTTTTCGCCATTTTCTGGACATGCATATGCGTGCGTTCACACTTCCATCGCCTCAGTCAAGAAGGTAATCAAGCACCGTGGAGCCTACGTTGGTGTTGTGTCACCTACTTTGCATGTTTCCACATTGATGTAGGCTGCAGACCCGCTCAGCCTTTTTCCTTGTATGTGGTGCCATATACTTGTTTCCTTGGATGACGGGCGAGAAGTGAAACCATGAGCACGACAACTAACGCGGACAGATTGAATGGTAGTGAGCATCGACGGCTTGGACCTCATACATAAGATACGTTCACATTTCATAGAGCTGGTATGCGCTTCATACCAAAGCGTACTACTGGTATCGCTTTCAGCACATGTGATGTGCGTGGCAACGGGGAAACTCGTCATAGCAGCAAAATACCCCACCAAGCACAAAGCCCCCTTCGCCTTCCATTTACAATGCTTCGTGATGGGCCCGGGTTGCATATCCAATGCTCCCTCTATCCCTGTCCTAGTCTCGCTCATCGGGCGCCAGGCATCATATCCAAGGCGACGACCTGTTCTCGGGCTTCCCCTTGTGAAGCCTACAGACACAAACCTAAAAGTCCTTGAAGCTCTCTTCCCACTTGTCGCTCAGTTCCTTGGTATATGGGTCTCTCTTCTCCGACTCCGGTTCATATTCATCAAAGTTGCGTGTGTCAGCGGGCCCCCTTAGATGTGGTACGATGGGTCCCTGGACTTCGCGGTTGTACAGCTTCTGCCAGTCAATGTTCTTAAACCACTCGTGTTGTTTCACACGTTGAGCGCCGCCTGCGACGTTACCCAGTCGCTTGGATGTGTCGACGGTGCAGAGGCCGGAGATGAGGTCGCGTGCAGTGGGGGACATGGCAGAAGGGAAGCGCACGCGTCCTTCTACGATTCTGCGGGGTATTAGCTCTACTCTCTCGAATATCATGGATAGTTGCGTACTGCTCGTAAATCTTCATTGGGTTCTGGTCCCAGAACGGTGGTTGTCCCACGAGGAACTCGTACACCAGGATACCAAATGCCCACCAATCGACTGCTGTGCCGTGGCCTGTGTTCCGGATGACCTCGGGTGCCAGATACTCGGGCGTGCCACAGAGTGTGTAGGTCTCTCTATTCTCTACCTTCTTGGCAAACCCAAAGTCGACCAGCTTGAGGTGGCCTTCGGCGTCTATGAGTATGTTTTCAGGTTTTAGGTCGCGATATGCGACGCCTTCCCTCTCATGGAGGAACTCTAGTATAAGGACAATCTCGGCAGCATAGAACTGTGAGGTGGGCTCGTTGAAGCGCCGTGCTCTCCGCAGGTAGCTGAAGACCTCGCCGCCGGGGCAGTAGTCGAGCTGTCCACCGTGTCAGTCATTGACGAGTGCTCGCGATAGGCGCCGCTACGTACCACCATGTAGAGGGAATCCAGGGATTGGAAGCTGGCAACCATGGTGGTTATGAAGGGGTGGCCAGCCACTTTAGCCAGAACATTGCGCTCGTTCCGGACGTGCTCGACTTGCTTGAGCCGGATGACTGGGCGACGGGCGTCAGTAGATGCAAAGGGCGCATGTCGAGGGCGCAGACGTACCATCGACTTTGCGCAGAATCTTCAATGCGAAGACTTTGTTCTCGTCGCCCGCCTTTGCGTCCTTCAATCGCACCAGCCACACGCGCGCAAATGTACCTGACGTAGAGTCAGCGTCCTGTCCTCGTCTAGTGGCGTGGACAAGTATGCGCACCGGTGCCGAGGGTCTTGATCAGCTCAAAGTCTTCCTCGCGCAGGACCTTGGACGAGTGGCCGACGGGCTTCTTCTCCGGGTCAATGTCAATCTCGTCGTGGCTGAGCGTGTGCTTTTGCGCCTCCCATTGCGCCAGGTGCTGCTTCTCTTCCTCGCGCGGCCGGTCCATGGCCGAATCGGTGCGGTCGTGTAGCGGGCCAGAATGCGACGGTGAAGAGGCCTCCTTCTTGTCCCGGTGGTGTTGCATGGGATGCAGCATGTTCTTGAAGGTAGTCGCCATGGTGGCCGGTTATGCGCCTGCGACAACGGGGTAGGGGTGCGAGTAGTAGGCGCGATCGAGGGGTCGGGTGGGTTGCTCAGGTGCTGTCTTATCCGGAATCAGTAACGGAAGCAACTCATGGCAGCAGGCACAGGCAGCGGCGGGTTCAATCTTCGGGTTTGTAGGTGCGTAGTAAGCAAACGTATCGTGAAGGGCAGCCTGTGGTTAGGCGGGTCGGCCGGGCGTGTAGCACTCGACGACTGCGGCCAAGGGGCACGTTGGACTATAAAGCGGGCGCGACCAGGTGCATGCATGGCGGGGGCTTTTGATCACTCACTCAATGACGCAGGGCGTGGGGACTGGGCTTGCAACAAAGCCGACTTAAGCCTGATGAGACGGCACGCCGCTCCACTTGTCGAGTACGAACCTGATGTGTTTTTAACTTTCCGATGTGAGCAAACATAGTGCCTTTTAGGTTCCCTGTTAGCTACTGCTTAAACACACTTCCCGTGCTCGGCCGCACAAGACGCAATTGCACGCTATCCGCCGATGTTCTGCCATTCTGCCTGCTCATCTCATTTCGATACGAATTGCCATACGAGGATTTAACATGCTATTCGACTGTACTAGATATGCCCAAACTCCGAAAACTGTAACTCCAAGGATTGCATGCTCGTCAACTATATCTACACCATGTAGTCGTACAATTGCCCACCACCAAGTTCGTCTTTAACGTAGGAGTTAAGTGTTGACGTTTAGAAGAGACAAGTATTGCGTGATTTGCAGCTCAGCCACTTGCTCGGGTGTTGAGGATGAGGGCGACAATGAGTCTGAACATGTTAGCTGTTGGCTAGTCGCATCACTCCGTTGAACGTACCCGTAAAGACCCAGGACTTCGGCGAAAATGAGGATGAGGACCATGCCGACGAAGATCCTTGACTGGCGCATGAAAGAGCGTACACCCTACATATGTCAGTGTGTGCCGCCATTGTAGAACCAACGCTACGTACGGCGTCTCCCACGATTCCAATCGCGTAACCCGCAGCCAGACCAGATAACCCGACTGACAGACCGGCAGCCATGTGCATGAATCCAGCATACAGCGAGTATGTATTATCCGGCGGCGGCTTGATGTCGCTAGCGATGAGGACGGATATGACGAGGGCGTAGACGGCCAAGATACCGGACATGACGATGGGGATGAGCGACTGCCCTAGTTAGTCGGAGCTCCCACAGACGCCATAGACAGCTCCTCACCTTCATAATCAGGTCTGGCCTGTATGTTCCGATACCAGCGATGCCGATGCCTGCTTTGGCTGTGCCATAGGCAGCTCCAGCGCCTGCTGCCGTTAGCTCCTGCACGTCCAAGCGGTTGGGTCGGGTCTCGTACATCCAAAGATCATCTGGGCGCGGTTCGTATATTAGTTCGACAGCTACGTGGGAGAGGTGCTACTCACAGCAAACGCGATTCCGCTCTGCGTCGAAGGTTAGCTATGAAGTCATCAACATTGAACACGGCGTGGCACTCACCATGCCAAAGAACGGCGCGAAGCTCGGCGCGAGCTCATTTGACGACATGATGCCTGCTCGGGTGGTGCGCAGGTCGGGCGGGTGGTGTAGTAGCGAGGGAGTCGACGCGTGATGGGTGAGGCGTTGGATGATTGATAGTCGTTGCGCTGGGCGTTCGTAGGAGAATGGCACTAGGCTGCTTCGGGGGACAGCACGCCCCAGCGCTTCTAATACACACGATCGTGGATACGACTACACCCTACCCGCCCATTTCGCACCTACACCACCTCGCATCTTCACGTATCTTCATCCAGGACGGCCCTGGGTCCTCGCTGGGCGGCTTCAACCCTTCCTGCCCCAGTCGCCCTCCTCCCCTCGGCCACACCCCGCGGCACTGCACCCCGACCAGGCAAGACTGCGCAGAGACATGGCCGACTACGGGAACCACCAACGTCCAGAGTATGCGCGCGGCCCCAACCATGGCCAGCCCTCGGGCGCACGGGAAACCGCCTTCACCAACATCTTCGGCGCCAGCCCCCAAATGGCCGGCCGCTCGCAGACCATGACCTCGCAGTCTCACATGCGCATGCCCGACAGAGCTGCCACCATGTCCAGCCAGACTGCCGACATGATGCAGCGCGCCCCGCCCATGCGCCAGCCGGTCAATGGCTATGATCGTCGCCCTCATCCCCAATACGACGCGCGCCCGGGCAGCAATCCCGGCGAGCAGCGGCCCATGGACCCCCAAAACGCCTACAATCGCCCCATGCCGAACGGCTACGGCCAAGACCCACGATACCACCAGGGTCCGCCGCAGCCTCAACGCCAGCCGCAGCCCCAGTACCTCCCCCAGCCGCTTCGCCCGGAGCGTCAGCCATACGGACAGCCCCAGCGCTTTGACCCGCGAACCTCCCCTCCAGGGCAGCCCCCCTTCACCAAGCCCATACCCAACCGCTTTCCCGGCCCACCGGGCCCTGCAATGAACGCTGACCCGTATCGCTCGCAGTCACTAGCTCTGAACCCGCGCCCGCAATTCACCCCCGGAGGACCTTCACACCCCTCGCAAGCAAACACCTTCCGCCAACAACCATATATGAACCACATGGCACGGACTACGGCCCAGGGGCGTGTTGTTCCAGAACGACCCGACGAACGGACAATGTCTATGACCTCTTACACCAGAGACCCCGAGCACACTCAGACAATGAGCGGCAGGATCATACCAAACCGAAGACGAGAGTCTGGCGGATCGGAAATGGCACCTGGAGCGCCCGGCCAGCCCCAACATATGAACGCTGGACTCCCGCCAAATCCCAGGAGCATTAGCCAAGGCAGCGTGCCAACCCAGTCCCGCACCATGTCCATGGCATCGACCGTTGTGCCTCCGTCCGAACGGACCAACACCATGTCTTCGATGACATCGCGTCCTGATTCGACCCAGACTATGGGCAGCAACGCCAGCAACAACAGAACCTCTAACCAGTCCATGACCTCGCTTTCACAAGGGCAACAGGTCCCTGCCGCCCAGCGACGCGCGCCGCTCGTGTACCCCGCCTTGCTATCACGAGTTGCCGAAACCTTCCAGGATCGAGTTGGCCTGACAGAGAAAGAGAAGGACGGCCTGGTGTACAAGAGTGCCTTCACCGGCGCAGATGCGGTTGACCTCATTTCGTTCATCATCAAGACGACGGATCGTAATCTAGCACTGCTTCTCGGCCGCTCTTTGGACGCCCAAAAGTTCTTCCACGATGTGACCTACGCTCACCGGTTGCGAGATTCGACCAACGAGATCTACCAATTCCGCGAGACCATGGTAGAGGACAAGTCAGAGATCAACGGCGTCTTCACGCTTCTCACTGAATGTTACTCTCCCACGTGCACCCGCGACCGCCTGTGCTACTCCATTGCTTGCCCCCGCCGCCTCGAACAGCAGGCTCGTCTGAACATGCGCATTCAGCCAGGTCTCAAGCGTGAGGAGTCCAGGGCGAGTTTGCATGAGGACAAGGACAATGAAGAGCAGAAACTCTGGATCAACACTGTGCCCAAGGAAGTTTCTGAGAGTGTGTCTGAGAAGGAGCAGAAGCGACAAGAGGTCATCTCTGAGCTCATGTACACTGAACGCGATTTCGTAAAGGATCTGGAGTATCTCCGAGACTTCTGGATGAAGCCTCTTCGCAACCCTGCGACTTCACCCATCCCTGAGCACCGCCGAGAGAAGTTTGTCCGCACCGTTTTCTCAAACTGTCAGGAAGTCTACATGGTCAACTCACGCATGGCCGAACAGCTCACGAGGCGCCAGCAAAAGGAACCCGTGGTTCGAAATGTCGGAGACATCTTCCTCGAGTATGTGCCACATTTTGCGCCCTTCATAAAGTACGGTGCGAACCAGCTCTTCGGTAAGTACGAGTTTGAGCATGAGAAACGCACAAATACCGGATTCGCCAAGTTTGTCGATGAGGTAGAGAGAATGAAGGAATCGCGAAAGCTCGAGCTTAACGGTTATCTTACCAAACCAACAACAAGATTGGCCAGGTACCCTCTGCTTTTGGAGAACATCGCAAAGTACACAGCCGATGACAATCCCGACAAGGAAGACATTCCCAAGGTCATCAAGATCATCAAGGAGACTCTGTCAAAAGTCAACGTGGAGTCTGGAAAGGCAGAGAACCATTTCAATTTGATGCAGCTCAACAAGGACCTCAAGTTTAGGCCTGGAGAGTTTGTGGATCTGAAGCTGACCGACGAAAACCGGCAGTTGGTGTTCAAGGGTACCTTGAAGAAAACTCCAACTGAGACCACTGGTGACATTACTTGTTACTTGTTTGATCATGCAGTTTTGTTGGTCCGGGCGAAGACTGTCAACAAGCGCGAGGAGCAGAAAGTCTACAAGAAGCCGATACCTCTGGAGCTTTTGGTCATTACGCAGATGGAGGAGGTCAATCCGAAGTTGGGCATCTCCAAGAGGCCATCAGCCAACTTGATCGCTGGCAAGGCCATTGCCGCTGCTACTCCAAAGAACAACGACCCCAAGCAACAAGGATACCCTATCACCTTCAAGCATCTTGGAAAGGGCGGTTACGAGTTGACACTATTTGCCAGCACCCCCATATCTCAGCAGAAATGGATGGAGCACATCGACACACAGCAGCGAAGTCTGAGGGAGCGAAGTAACATCTTCACCAAAACAATCGTCAACGAAGGCTTTTTCTCTCCGACCATCAGAGTCACATGCGCTGTTCCGCTGGGTATGTATCTCATCATTCTACTAGTAATCTCAATACTAACTTTTGACAGACGGTGGTCGCAAACTGGCTCTTGGTACAGATGCTGGTGTTTATGTCGTGGAGCGGAAGCCAAAGGACGCCTCCATGCGACCTCGTCGTGTCCTGGATTGCAAGGGTGTAACCCAGATCGAAGTTCTCGAACAACACGCAATCGTGCTTGTATTGGCCGACAAGACGTTGTATTCATACTCGACAGAGGCTCTGGAATCCGACGAGACCCAGTCCATGGTCAAGCGACCACGCAAGATTTGCCACGCCAACTTCTTCAAGGCCGGGATTTGCTTAGGGCAGCAACTGGTGGCTGCAGTCAAGACATCTGCGCTCTCGACCACTATCAAGGTGTACGAGCCTAAGGAGCAGATGGGCAACAAGAACAAGAAGTCAGGTTTCGCGAAGATGATGCTCTCCACGAGCGGAGCAGATCAGCTCAAGCCCTACAAGGAGTTCTACATTCCCACCGAATCGACATCGATACATTTCCTGCGATCCAAGCTATGTGTCGGCTGTGCACGCGGTTTCGAAGTTGTCAGTCTGGAGACGCTTGAAACGCAATCGCTGCTCGACCAGGCAGATACGTCGCTTGACTTCGTCGTACGGAAGGAGAACATCAAGCCAATCCATATCGAGCGTATGGCAAGCGAGTTCCTCCTATGCTATACAGACTACTCCTTCTTCGTCAACCGTAACGGCTGGCGGGCGAGGCCCGACTGGAAGATCACATGGGAGGGCACGCCACAAGCTTTCGCCATCTTTAACCCCTACATTCTTGCCTTTGAGCCTAGCTTCATCGAAATACGCCATATGGAGAGCGGTGGTCTGGTGCACATCATTACAGCCAAGAACATTAGATGGTTACACACGTCGACACGAGAAGTAAGTCAATCACGTAAGATTACATTACTACAGAAAGCTAACAATACCCAGATCCTGTACTCCTATGAAGACGAACTCGGCACTGATGTCATTGCCAGTCTTGATTTCTGGCAAACTGCAAACGGTGGAAAGCAGTCGCTGGATGTCCAGCGCTCATACGAGAAGAGCTAGACTCGACAGTAGCCCGCAACAAAACCTTAACGTCGAGCCTCTACCCTCGAACACACGAGCATGAAACCAGTGGCAAAGGCATAATGACAGCCACGTATGCACCATCTTTTCTGCTGACGACTGCTTTGCGGTTCTCTATGTCATCCTACTTGTCAGCGGAGGCATGCGACATTGTGGTCAAGGAAAGCTCAGGAAGTGCCTCGACCGAGCCGCGGGCGGTGGCGATGGTTGATCACGTTGATTATTACTCTCCTTCTCTGAGGTCAAGAGGAGAGAATACATTTGTATCATAATAGACTCGCACGGTGATTGATCTCCTTGGGGTTTCCAAAGGCAACTAGGCTCAAAATGTGTTGGAGGCATACCAGGTAGTGCGATTGTTGAAGACATAATCTGAAGATGCGATTTAGCGAGTTTGATCACCTTCTCTTTCTTCTTTGTTTTCTCTCTACCTATATTATGTATTTGAGTTATGTTTTGGTACTATGGCTGAGCCTTTTAGTTCGCTTCACTTGCTCGCATCCCGACACCATACCCGAGTCTCGGATTAACCGCCGTTACCGACGCTGGAAGTGGGTGTCTCCACCGTCACTAACACCATGGGAGGTCTAGTCGGATAACGTGTTCCTTAGTCTATGGCTAGCTTCATGGTCGGTCCTATTCCTCAAACCATCACATGACGGGGTTCAGCTCAGTGTAGTAGTACCTCCGATGTCGTTCCTTGTCACTATACTGCCGGAACATTGTTATTCTCCTACCGGCATCTAACCACTGCTTCTTCACCGATCACACGACCAAACAACTATCTGAATCGAAATCATCGTTGCTACAATCATGGCTCCCGGTGTACTGTGGGTTGCTTCACGCGTCGTGAATCCTGATAAGCTTTCTATTGAGAAGTTCTGCAATTGGTACGAGAATGTATGTACTTCGATCCTTCTTCATGAGCAGTTTACCATAAAACCACGAAGAAGCTAACAAGAAATGAAAGGAACACATCCAAGAAGTCATCAGCCTCGGCGGCGTACCGTCCGGTGTACGCTACCAAGCCATCCAACCCCAACCCTCACCATCTGTCTACAGCAACGAATTCCCATGGCTAGTAAGTCCTTCAACCCAGAACCCCAATACCACCATCTAACCCCAACCCCCCAACAGGTGACCTACGAATTCCCCGACATCGCCTACAGAGAAAGCGAAGACTTCCAGAACATAGCCGGCAAGAACCCTCCCAGCCAAGAACTAATCAACACAATCTACAAGAACTCCGCCTTTGCCATCCGTTTCTATGAAGAAATCCAAGCCGTCAAAGGAACCACTTCATCTCCGACTAAATTCGTCATCTCAGCCGCTCTCCAACCACCGAAAGACGCTTCTTCAGATGCAGACTTCGATGCGTGGTACCGCGAAGAACACCTTCCGGTTCTTTCCCGCGCACCAGGCTTTGTGCGCTCGCGCCGGTTTAAACTAGCCGCTGCGTCTACGCTGGAGGACTTCCAATTTGGAGATGCGATGGAGACGGCGCCGAGGTATTTGGCGCTGCATGAGTTTAGTGGGGAGGTATTGCCGTGGAAGGAGTTGGAAGAGAGTGGGCAGACGGAGTGGGCGAAGAAGGTTATGGGGGGTTTGATCAAGGAGGAGGTTGGGTTGTATGAGGTTAAGAGGATTTATAGTGAGGAGGAGTGGGGGAGTGTTGGGAAATAGAAAAGTAGGAATTATTTGTTGCTGTTTTGACTTATTTTCATTGAACTTGGATGTGTCTATGGACGGCTAGTGGGCTTTGGTTGCAAATATCCTCCTTGGGTGACTACCTGGGCACGTCTGCTTGTAAATGTAGATTCGTATCATTACCTAGCTATCTGCCCCGTTGGTTGACGGGTCAACGTGATCTGATATAGCTAACTCTGATCAGAGCTGTTTTTCGAGATCGCTCTATAGCTTCTCAAACACATCTGCTACCCTTTAGAGCTTGATCTAGGCTCCAGAGCTTTTGTTTCCTTCTTTGTATGAGATGTGTGGGAGTCTCAGAGATGTGGATGGCGAGCAGTCCAGAAAGTATATTTTCGAGCACACATGAATGTTTTACGAGTTTATTGCGTGCTCTGGGGCAGTACCTAATTTTAGGTCTTGCCCGTCGCAATATATGCTAGCCTCGCTCACCACTCCAGGCTCAAGCTGTCAGCCCAGCTGCCCTTCTTCTCAACCTTGTACGCACTCTCGACATTTCCGTTACCCAAATCTGCACCGTAGAAATGCGCAAAGCAACCTCTTCCGACCTCTTCCCACTTGAGCTCACCCTTCTTATCCGCATGAACCTGCCCGTCGCCATCGGTGCCCGCGACTAGCACGTCGTACTTGATCTTCAGCAGCCACAGCTCCGAGACGTCGCTGAAGAACTTGTCGGCAGTGCCAGGTACTTGCTCCGACGTTGATAGGTGGATGTAGCCGTCATTACGGTCGAGGTCTGAGAGCGGGAGACGCGCGGGGAGGGGGGATGGCGGGGCAGCAGGGAGGATTTTGTAGAGGTAGGTTGGAAGGGGCGAGGGAGCCGGCATTGTGGCGCGTAGTACGGATTGCGATGACTGGAAAGATGCCGGTACTCAAAGTGCGGTGAGAACAGCTCGTGACAGGCGTGTGAGAAAAGATGGTAGTTCGGGCACGAACTAGAGAGCGTCACAAGTCGCGAGAAATGCACGTTATGCTCATGATTGGCCGACGCGAGATTACGTGAGACAGGCGAGCATCCACCGCAACCACGGAACCAACATGCCTCTTGAGCGCCACAAAAGTCAGCCTGGACGAGATTCATAGGCAACCATGTCGCGTCCGTCTTTGCACCGTACCTCGACCCATCCGCAACATAACAGTAGGGTTTTCCTGCGCGCCCCGTGGTGCGGTACATTTACGTCATCTTTCGGGCTTCGCACAACCGCACGAGCTTTGGGTGCCAGAGGGCCACCGCAGAACACGTTGGCGACCAAAAACACCTACTCGTGAGACCCAGACACACGATTGGACGCGCGTGACGAGTCCATCCTGTTTTCCACGCATCCACAACCACGAGAAATCAAGACTCGCTACCACTCATATGCACCCACGATAGTCGCCAGGCTGGGTGTGCGCGCGGCTGGGTAGGATGCTCCGACCGGCAACGACAGTTTTAAACGCCCACGAGCCCGACCAACATGGTTTCCATACGACTCACCCAGGATGAAATGCACCACCTTTTGGAAGAGCAGGGAAATGGCCAGACGCGCTGCTGTATACAGGCGACGAATGCGACACCAGCTGGGTCGCATGTAACTTTTGGTTATCTGAACAAAGGAGCTGCAAATGTCATATTCAAGATCAGACCCGAGACCAGCACTGTCGCGACACGTTTCCAATTCGTCGATATACTTTCCAAAGACAAAAAAACTGGCGTAGCAACATCAGTACCCCATCGAAGCCTGATGGGAAGAGTCCTCCGCGTACCCAGAGGCGGCCAAAAACATCTTTCGTCCCTAGAAATCCTGGACGGCTTCGAACATGCCATCCGGCCACTCTTCCTTGCAGGTCCGCGGAACAAACCCCAACAGCCCGCTCGCGATCTCACAAAGCACCTCATGGACCACGAAGGCGTATTGCTCCTGCCAGACGTCATGAGCCACCTCTACACACGCGTCGAAAAGCACACCTTCGCAACCCCACAGTCGCGACGAAAGTGCTGGGGCATCCTCCTCCCAGACATGTCGCCCAAACACGGTGCATCAATAACGCTCGAAGTAAAACCAAAATGGCTCGCGCAATCCCCCAACGCACCCTCTGGAGCAATCCGCTGCCGCACCTGCGCCATGCACGTTTCCGTACCCAAGAAAAGAGATAACTACATTTGTCCTCTGCAGCTGCTGCATGGAAACTCCTCGTCCCTACTACCATGGTCCCAAGCAACAGTTTCCCAGCAATTCGACAGCAATACTGGTAAAGAAGTCCGACCATCCCCCGTCGTCATTGCCGCGCTTGTAAAGGCACTTGTGGATTACCTTACCATCGGCGACGGCCTCGCGCTCCTACAACATCTCCTCAATCTGCAGAGTTCGCTTGACCCGCGGGGCGTGCTTTGTCGACCTAAGATTAACGCGGAGGCGTTTGATCATAACCTTAGGCTGGCCATGACGCTGAGGGACTGTTCGATGTTCATCAAGGTTGCGTACGATAAGGCTGGTGTTACGGCGATTGAATCGAAGTTAGGGGATTTGGATTTCAAGTCCGCGGAGAAGATCGTGGATTGGATGGATAAGGAGAGGGGGTTATTGCTGGATGGGTCGTATACGAAGAATGTGAAGGAAGGGCCGGTGTGTTGGCTTCAGAAGGGTTTGGGCGTTTGAGGATGTTTTTTAATGAGAGGAAAAACTTTTCGGTTTGTGTTATTATATTTTTCTTATGAGGGATGTAATGTACGGACACTATAGAAGGAAGGGTCTCAAGGGAACGCGAAAAAGATGGATGGGTTTCGATATAACAAGCACATTTAATTCAGATATTTACATTGTCGCTAAAGAGGGAAGGAGGGTATCTATGTAACGCCAATGCCCATGAGATCCTATCGTAGATGGCGGGGACTCCAAACCTGTCCCTCGCCAGAAGAAGAAGAATAAAAGCGCTATAATGGCGTAACGAGAACACACCGACAGTGTTTGTTCATTCAATCATCAATCATTCATGCAATCCACCACGCCGACACTTACGCGCCCTCGGGGGTAAAGCAATGCACACGAACGGTACCGTCTTCACTCCCGCTGACGACCCTTTCGTCACTCAGCCCCACACAAGTGATAGGACCCGTATGACCCGTAAGTGTCCTCTCGTGTTTGCCCGTCCGGGGATCCCAGATCTTAATTGTCTTATCCTCAGCTCCACTAACCAGTCTGAGTGAATCGGCGGCAAGCGACCAGATACCTTCTACATGGCCGAAGAAGCGGTGGACACAGCGACCGGAAGGTACGTGCCAGAGGCGAATAGTGCCGTCGAGAGAGCCGGTGAGCATGTATGAGGGCGGAGACGGACGGGAGGGGTCGTCGGGGAAGAAACTTGGTTCTTCGGGGTGACTGTGGTGGTGAGAAGAAGAAGACGAGGTATGGGCGAGAGGCGGGGCGGTATCAGAGGCGAGGGAAGCGGTATCGGATGTATCATTGTTTGCGTTTGCGACAAAGTCATCTTCGTCGATTTCAAAGGCTTGCGGAAGGGGCAGCACTTGTTGGACTTGGCCGACGTGGCCTTCGTACGTTTTGATGCAGCGGTGGGTGTCGAGATCCCATAGCTTGACGGTCATGTCGTCGGAGGCGGAGAAGAGGGTGCGCGAGGGGAGGTCGATCTTGACGGCGTTGACCCAGTCTGTGTGGCCTAGCAAGGTGGTGCGCTTCATGTGGCTGAAGTCGTGCACCATGATGGTGTTGTCTGAAGACCCGGATGCGAGGAGTTTGTCTGCCATGTGGAGGCCAATTACACCATCGCTGTGGCCGTTCATGGATTTGACAAGTTGGCCTGTCCGCCAGTTCCATATCTTGATCGTGTTGTCCAAGCTGCCGGTGATCAGTTTGCTGTCTTCAAACTGCAGGCATCGGATGCCTTGGGTGTGGCCTGTTAAGGTGCGGATCTCTTGGCCTGTCTTGATGTCCCAGACTTTGATTGTGGCATCGTAGGAGCCGGTGATGAGGACTTGATCGTCGAATTGCAGGCACATGACGCCGTTGGTGTGGCCCTTGAATATACGTGTCGAATAACGTCCGTACTTCCAATTGCTCCCAACCTTGTAGCGATCCTTGTAGACATCCTTCCATGGTCGCTTCTTAGGATGATCAAAGTATGATGTGACTTGATCTTGACCGGCTTGGAGGCTGGTGCATGGTCGTTTATTCGAAGCTTCTGGGGAAGAATCGTCGTCTGGTACAGAGCGCTTGGTGCTGGCAGCGGGGTCGGGGCCTTGGGATAACCGATGAGCGAGTGTGTCGGGTGAGGTCTCGGGCTGTGGGGTGATGTTTGGCGACCATTCATTGAGGCCCCGCCCCGATGCGCGCAGTTGTATCCGTCGCTTCTCATGGCGCAAACGACGTTGGTCGAGTAGCGGGAGTCCCCAGCCGCATTTTGTGCACTTCCTGTCAATGTGCTGCTCGCACATCTTGTGCCAGACGACGTCGTCGTCGGCCAGTTGTCTCCACCGCCGATTGACCTGCGAGGCCTTGCACAGCGAGGTGGTGTCGAGATAGCAGAGGATCTTGAAGCCCAATTCGGTGGGCAGTGCGCCGAGAAAGTCGATCTTAATGAGGTTCCGGACGGAGGAGGATATGAAGGAGAGTTGAGGAAAGCAGCACTGGGCGAGGATGCCCTGCAGCATGAGGTTGCGATGGCGGGAGGGAGCCGCGGAGAAGAGCGACCAGACGTTGGCAATGCTCTGCTGGTCGGCCTGGGACTCTCTGCCGAGTTGTTCCTGCAGTTGCTCCATGGACGGCTCGTCTGCTTGCCGTCGACAGAGTAGGTCGGGACGGTGTCGATAGCAGAACTTGGTGTTGGCAGTGCGTGGACGCTCGTCCTGGCCTGGGCTGTTGGCGCCGAGGGGGTTATATTGTTGGGGAATGTGCTGGGCGAGGTATGGCGTGATCATCTTCTCCATTTTCTTCGACTTGTTCGCCTGGGCCTCTTCGGCCTCGTCTGTGGTTGCGTGCTGG